CAGTCCTACATTAGAGAGAGAAATAGAGAATAAAATAGTGTTACCAGAAACTTGTGCAGAAAGAGACAAAGGGAATTGGGAGTTGGCTCTCAAAAGGTACAAAATTTCAGCTAGACACAAGGAATAAGTTTTGAATATCTACTGCATAGCAAAGTGACTACAGTCAATAATAACATATTGTATATTTTAAAAGAGCTAAGAGCAAATTTCAAATAGCCCACCAAAAAAAGAAGTGAAGTATGTGTTAAAGAGCTTGATTAATCATTTCATATTTTGTAGAAATATTAAAGCATCATATTATACTCCATTACTGTATCCAACTATGACTTAGAAAATACTAAATTTTAAAACTTTTGTATTTTAAAATATAAGTCATATCAAAAGATCATGAATTAAAATGGTAGTGAATTTCTTAATATAACACTAGAGACAACGGATTTATGCTTTTGGAATTATAAAAGAAATTTACTTCAAATTGAAAATCAATGTAACATATTTTTATACAAAAGTTCTCAAAACTTTACCTCCTATATATTCTTTCTAAAGGTACCATGAGAGAATTTGTTTCAAAAAGTTGAGATTAAAACTATGCAGGAATAACAGTAGTTATTACATCTACCATGATCTTCAGAGTAACTACTCAGAGTACAAGACATAAACCAAAGATGTCTTACACAAAACAAACAGGTAATAACACGAAACTTTCCCTTTTTTTCTGTTTTTTGGGGGGTGGGGGTGGGGGTGAGTGATGACACATGGTCTCATTATGGAGCCCAGGCAGGCCTTATATTTACAGTAATCCTCTTGCCTTAATTTCCAGAGTGCTTGGATTATAGGTGTGTGCCACCACACCCAGAAAAACTTTCTTTTCAACTACCTAAAATAAACTAGTAGTACAAATGAAACAAGTTAGCATATATAGAGAGAAGTATTTTTATTTTCTTATTATTTGATTATGAAATTTTGTTCTTTTTAAAATAACATTTGTAAAAATCTGTACAGAAAGAAGAAATTAAATAAAGCAAAGCCTGACAGTCTCACTATAATTAAAGAAACAGAGTTGAGACTTTAGGAAAACTAAGTTGGCTGGAATTCATGCGATGGGAGTATCAGAGAGGAAAAACTTACAGAGGGAAATTTCTGGAGGCCTTCAGAAGGTTTTCATTAAGTATTCAACAGAACATTGATCAATTAAAGCATATGAGGAAACCAGCCAGTGTTAGTGAAGCAGCCACCCAAAAAGACTACAGGGAACAATTTTTAGTATTCAGACATGATCAGATATGGTGAGCAGTGTCTGCTCCCACCAGCTAGGCTAGAAAATATCACAATTCATGGGACTCTGGCTAACATACTCTAAAGTGTGCAAAAATTGTCTCTAAACACGGCTCTGATCTCACCCAACATATCTTGGCAGTGGTGAGGGCGGATCTCAGGGTTTTGTGCATATCTGCAGGCACTTGACTAATGAGCACACCCCTAGCCCTTCACCTAACAAATTTTAAAAATAAGACTTGAAAGGATCAAGCTATTTCTGAGTAACATAACTGTATTCTAAAACAAAACTTGATATTTATAATTATACAAAAATATAGGGCCTGGGATATAGCTCAATGGTAGAACACTTGCCTAGCATGCACAAAGTTTTGGGTTCAAAAAGTGGGAAAAACCAGCAATTAAAAAAATAAAAGCCATAAAGCCTGGCACATAATCAATAATTACTAGACATACAAAGAATTAATAAAGTATAATCCATAATGAGAAAAATCAACTAATCCTTAACGAGCAATATAAAAATGGGTAAGAGGAAACTTGGAGATAGATCTTTTGAAAATGGGAAGGGGACCAAGAGGTTGAGGAAGGGGGAGGGAGTTGTTTGGTCCCCCATGAAAAGGGGAACCAAAGATGTGTCAGGTACGTGTACCAACTTCCTGCAATGAAAGTAGTTGTTAGGTAATGCAAACGTACATTAATAAAAGTCAATTTTTAATGTTTAAAAGAATTTTTTAGGTTGGACTTGGTGGTATATATTTCTAATCCCAGCACTCGGGAGGCTGAGGCAGGAGGATCACTGTGAGTTCGAGGCCAGCCTGAGATACTAGTGAGTTCAAGGTCAGTCTCGGCTGCATAATGAAACCCTGTCTCAAAAAGACAAAGAAAAAAAAGAATTTTTTAAAAATGAAAAAAAGAAAAAGCAACCAATCAAGATCTGACACAGATGTTAAAACTATCAGGCAAGGGAATTAAAACAGCTATTATAATTCTATCCCATATGTTCAAAAACTATAGGAAAAGATAAATATCTTAGAGATATAGAAGTTATTTTTAAAGATTCAAATCAAATTGATAGAGATGAAACTATAATATCTGAGATGAAAATACACTGGAGGGGTTAATGGTAGATTACATTATATAAAAATTAATTTGAAGAAATAGCAATAGAAACACAAAGATTTTGGAAAGAATTTTTAAAAAACTGAGTGTAGCTGGGCATGAAGGCACACTCCGATAACTTCAGCATTTGGGAGGCTGAAGCAGGAGGATAATTGAGAGCTCGAGACCATCCTGGACTACAAAGTGAGCTCAAGGTCAGCCGGAAAGGCAAAGCAAGACCCTATCTAAAAAAAAAATGCTGAGTAATTTGGTGCATGCCTGTAATCCCAGCTACTCTGGAGGCTGACTTAGGAAGATCATAATTTCATGTCTAGTTTGGGTGACCCTGTCTCAAAAAACAGAGACGCTCAGTGCCAGAGCAACCCTTAAGGCAACTTCAAGCATCCTGATACATATGTAGTTGGAGCTCCCTCCCTTAAATAAAAGAAATATTGCCAAAAAAAATTTTAAGGGAACAATGTGAGGCAGTACACACCTACTCAGAAGACTGAAACAAGAGAACTGTGAGTTTGACACCAGGCTGGGCAACTTAGAACTTGTCTCAAAATAAAAAAGGCATGTAGCTCGGTGGTAGAGCACCACTGGGTTCAATTTCCAGTATAAAAGAGGAAAAGGAGAATAGAGGAGAAAGATGAGAAATTAGAAGAATTTCTTGCCAAACTTGTAGAAGTCAACCAACAATATATAAAACAGAAAAAAAAAAGGAATGCCAGGCAAGGTGGCATGCACCTATTATCTCAGCACTGAGAAACTGAGGCAGGAGGATCTCCATGAGTTCGAACCCAGCCCGGGCTACATAGAGAGTTCAAAGCCAGCCTGAACTGCATTGGGAGACCCTGTCTCAATCAATCAGTCAGTCAATCGATAGAAAAAATAGCATGTAAGGATGATATTTAGACACGTAAAGGTCATACCAATAGAAATATCTAATAGAGTTGAAATTTCATAGCTTTGTTGTAAAAATGTAGGTGACAGCCCTAGCCACCCATTATTTTAACCCTGCCTCTGTCCTGACTAGTTGAATGATCTCAGCAAATTGTTTGATCTCTTTGAGTTTTGTTGTCTCATTTGTCAAATGAGGATAATAGCAGTGTTTACTCATAGGGTTGTCTGATGGACATGTATCATTATTTTAAAGGCCTACAACAGTGCCTAACACAAAATAAGTGCTCAATATTATTGTTGCTGTTGTTGGAGAGCTGAAATTCGAGATGGGCAATTGACATTTCTTGCAATATGGTTTAGAGTTAAATTACTTTCTAAATATGTACAAAATATCACTTTGACATAAACTTTGATACAGATAAGAGTAAAATAGGATGAGGAAATGGAAACTCAGGAGGAGTTTGCTATGAAAGCAGGGAGAGGGATAAGGTGACAGGTAGTGGAGATATGAGCCAAAGAAAAGTAATGGAGTTTTATGTTTTCGTTTTTAGTAGGACAGATGTTAGGGAGTTTCAAATTGAGTTTGAAATCAATCATAGAGGGGGAGAGACTAAAGCTATGAAAAAATAAGGACACATGGTCAAATAATCAATGCAGGACATTTCTTCCATTATAACTAGAAGGCAGGTGGAAGTAATGGATATGGACATAGGTATGTCCAGCAGTTTGATATGAACAGTTGAAGAATTCATCATTTTGTATCCACCATTATCTGTAAAGTATGAGGGCACTTGCAGAATATAAGAGGAAGAGTTGCAGGTTTAGTTGGAATTTTGAGATGAATACATTTGATCTGAAACAGAGATGAGTTTAAAGGGAGTTTAAAAGGTTGAAAGGTGTCTTTGAGTGGATGAAGTGCTGGCAAAAATGGGAAGACACTCAAAACATGTGAAACTGAGGCAAAAATGATGGGTGCTAACAAACCAGATAAAATACAGCAAGCTAAAAATGAAATAAGAGAGTGGGAGGTAAAAGTACAATAAGGAGAAAGAGATTTTGAACAGATCTCTAAACCAATTGAAAAAGAAGTGGAAAGATTTGAGAAAGAATGAATGCATTAAAACTGTTATCATCAAGAACTTAAAATGATTAGTACAGACAGCAGCACCTGATAAAATGCTAGGAGGCTTTCCTGCCTGAGGCCAGAGCCACTGCCTAGCAGGAGTACTGTTCAGAGAAACAGGATGCTGGGTGTGGCCAGTCATCCTGGCTCCACAGTTAATCCTTAGAACCACCCTAATAAACCACTCTATATTTTAAAAAATTCCCTATGTACGTATATAAAATGTATTTTTCCCCTATGGAGAACTAAGTGAAGAACTAAGGAAAGCAACAGAAGCTACACATGGACAGGAAAGACACACACCTAGCACTGTAACCAAAACTTTTTCTGCCCCCCACCACCACTATCTCAGCTCAAGCTCTTTTTGAGCATGAGGAAGATAGGCCTCTTGCTTGGTTGTGCATTAAATGAACTGATAGGCTACAAAGATGGAAAGAAGAGTCTAGAAATCCACAAGGATTTAACTGTGAATTTACCACTAAGCCTCAATAATTCCCTAGTTGGTTAAATCTTCAGGTATGCCTGAAAAAAAATAAATGACTTTAAATTGGCCCCTTTACACAAAATCAAGCATTTCAAAGAAATATGAGGAACCTACCTCTCAGCAATATTTTTTGCAGACTGTAGAAACCGGGCCTGGTCATTTTCTTTTAGGATATGCTCAGCTTGGTTAATGAGAACTGTAGACCTTTCAAGACACTGACGGCAATTAGCAACCTGCTGGGCCAGTTTTCTCAGTTTCATAACCTTAAAGGAATTAGTAAAAGAAAAATCAAGATAAAATATACAGTGCCTAATTAAAAACAATAAAACAACATGAAGGAGACCTGCTGTAGTGATTCTACAAATAATGCTTATTAATATCCCAGGATCACTGTACTAACCACTCACCTTCTCACCCTACCTGCTAAGTCTCTCTTGCCAACCCCTCCTTTTCCAATCTACAGCTTGCTCATTTGCATTGTACTCATTCACAAGCTATCAGTTATCTCCCTCCTGTTTGTATTGATAACATTAATTTTTCTAATTGCAAAAGCAATACTTGTTCACTCTAGAAACTTTTAAAAATAAAAAAGCATAAAAAGAAACTATACCACTCAGAGAGCACCACTTTTACTACCAATGTATCTTCACATATATGTTTAACAAAAAATACTTCATTTTTTCTTTACTCATATCTCTACTTCTATGCATGTATTTCTATAAGTATCTCTATGCATACCTCTGAATTAAAAAATCTGTATTGTTGGAAATTTTAATTCCTGTGTTAGCTGGAACCATCCAGCATGGCACAAAATATTGGTCATCAACTCAAGCTCCTGTAACTTTTCATATTGTATCCACAGCATGAGTTTATAATCACTGATGTTGAACAGCAGGCCAATAAACCTAAAGCCATTGTAGTTTGGAAAGTCACACTTGACCTTTTGACCACGATTCTTTAGCTTCCAGGTTATTAAACTGGGTATTCATTGCCTTTGTCTGTCTCCTTCCTCTTTTGCATCTAGTAAATGAGATGATTCCTATTTTTTCTTGCTAGCAGTATCTATTACATTCTTTCTTTCCATGTGAGCTGTCTTTCACTGATTTTGATCTTCAACAACTCATACTAAGAATCATTCCATACTCCTTCTTAATTGATTTCCTGACTTCAGCATTATTCCATTTTTAGTAGCTCTGCTCACCTCTGCTGTATGAGTCTTCAGACATCCTAAGGATGTTAATAACCAATATATAACCAACAATCAATCAGGTAAAGATAGGGAACATTTCCAGCATCCATAACTGTCATCATTTTTATTGGATTGTCTCTTCTTTGCCTGTTTCCTTACTACCTCATTTCTTCTTGCCTTCATGATCCAAATTCAAACTGTAATCATCAGGATTAGACTCTGACATTTGTGAAAAAAAAAGAAACCACTCTCCCTTGGCCTCACTGAAATGCTATGCTTTACCTTTGTCTCTTTGATTTTGACAGCAATCATTTGTTTCCTCTGCTGGATGATCTCTACCAACTCGTCACATTCTTCCATAAGTTTTGCCTCATGCATAGCAGTATTCACCTGCCAAGAAAGTCCAGAGTATTACACAGTGATTGTTGTCTTTGTCCCTTGCTGGCTCTAAAAGGTTTGGACTGACAGCTAAACATGCACAACTTCTTCCATACCTCCCTCGATAAGATCCACTCCTAGAAGAAGAGTAGAGATGATGATATTAATGATGCAAGGGCACTGAAGCACGACAGATAGGAAGCTCCGGCCTCTGGTAGATCATGATGGTTAATGGAAGGCTGGGCAGAAGGACAGATGAGATGGGGGCATGTTATTCCCACTGTGCCATTCCCTTTACTCCGGCACCCTGGCCTCCTGCTGCTCTTTTGGAAAGAGGGTAAGGAGATTTATTTATGTCAAGAAAAGAGATGCCTCCTCAACAGGTACAATAATATAAAGATAACTCTGAAACAACATACTTTTACTGTTCTAACAAAATGTTTTCAGTTTTCCTTGTTCCTTTCCAATTTTTAAATATATAAATGTGCACATATATTTTCACATTAAATGTATGAATGAATATCTGGGCATGGTAGCACACACCAATAATAATAGCTCTCTAGAAGTCTGAGGCAGGAGAATCACAAATTTGAGCCTAACTTGAGCAAGTTAGTATGACACTGTTTCAATTTTTTTAAAAGCTGGGGATACAACTCAGTATAAAAGTCCTGGTTTCAACCCCCAGTAATAGACAAACAGATATCTGTCTGTCTGTCTATCTGTATATACGTGAATGTGTAGATTTTTTTACATAGTTCTCATCACATTTTATTAATATTTCTTGTGTTGAAGAAAAATTTCTGCCAAATATCTTAGTATCTCCTATTTTGACATTAGTAGCTATACCAAAATATCTCTACAATAATGTTATGGTATAGATGCTTAAAAAGCCACTATTCTTCATTGTCTAAGAACTGACTTTTCTTTATCTCTATTACTCTTGTTATTAGAGAGTACAAAGCCCCCACTAGAAGCTAAAATGAGAACAAGGAATATTTGGAATGCCCAGGTAAAAAGGGAAAGGAAAGGACAAGGAACAAATATCTCAAACAATGTGCCAAGCACTTTACAGATAAATGTTTCATGTATTTATTATTACAACTTTGTAATACAGGAACCATGTTTATTCTAATTTTACAGATGAGGAAGCGGGAGCTCAGAGAATTTTAGTGACTTGCTCTAAATTACACAGCTATTAAGTAGTAAAAACCAGAATTCAAATCAAGTTCTATCAAGTGAAACCCCTGAGTTAAGTGGGTGGGGAAGCAAGGTTCACTTCTATTTCAGCAGAACACAGAGCAGTCACAATAGGGAGTACAATTATTTGAAAAGTCTATCCAATGATTGTTGAGCAGATCTCTAGAAGGATGAGGGATAGACAATGGCTACTTGAGAGCATCAAGGGGCTAGATGTGTTTCATTAGCAAGGGAGAGCTGCATTTGCAATTGGTATCTTCCTCTTCAGAGGGTTCTTCTACATATTCCAACACTAGCAAAATATCTGTCCTTGGACCCTGCTGCCTCCTGTCCCATCCTCAAAGATCCCTTCTGGCTAATATTTTGTTTATATTTGAAGCAAAGTAAAATACTCTTGCTAAAGAATGACAACCTTTTTTACTTTATTTTTACTATACAAGGAGAAATGCCACTTGGTAGCATCTACTTATTCTGAATAAATAGTCCCACTCTGGCCAGTTATTTATTTTTATCCAGTTGTGTTTTAGATTTATTTTCCCTTTCCTTAAATTGGATCTACCTTTCCGAAGTACATATCTTACCATTTTATAGAACGCCTACTCATCTGAGAACAACAAATGAATTCAGTACCTGGAAACTTAAGATATTTTTCATTTATAGTTTCCTTTTCAAGCTACTGCCTGAAATGAACACTGTGTTACTTGTAATTTCATCCCTGGAATAACCCTTACATGATACTCATTGTATGCCAGGAACTACTCTCATCAGTTTACATATATCAGCTCTCTCAACCCTCAAAACAATCCTACACAAGACAAGTATCATTATTGCCATTTGACAGATTAGAAAACTTAAACACAAAGAGATTAAATGACTTACTCAAGGCTAAACATAAAGTAGTGGTAGAGATAAGATATGGATTCCAATATTACAACTCTAGATCCACATTTTTAACCATTAAACATATTGCCTGTCCAGTCTAGTGTAACAACACCCTTGTCTTCAGTTTCTGACAATTATTATCTCTTTCTCACCATCTATCTTTATTCCGTTATCCCTTTTCTTTAGTCGTTTTAGACTCTCTGCTGTTTTCTCCAGAATACTGGAGCTTTTGCGCTCTGTGCCTTCACCTGAGGTTATTACTTTACTGAAAAACCTTCTAGCTGTCTTTTAAAACCCTACTCAAGGAACATCACTTCTGTAACTTCTTCTCATCTGCCCTTATTTATATTTCCATGGCACTTTACATATAACAATAGTATTCACTACTTTACATCACAGTAATTGTATTAGTCTGTCTTCCCAGACTAAACACACGTTGTAGAGACCAGGGATTGATTGTGTTTTATTTTACTTTGTCTATCTTCAGTATGGTGACTGTATATCACTGGTATATGCTAAATAGGCATCTGATGGGTTCAATTAATGGTAAAAACTGTATTTTGCTACCTGTTAGACATGTTCAGTTGGTACACAAGTTACTCTAAGCTCTATATACTATATCTAGACATAAACTTAATTACCTTTTTTCCGAATGTGTCCTCCACCTCTGATTTACCATTTCTTTTTGTCAATGCTACTATTATTATTGCAGTTTCTGCTCCCTCATCCCTCATATAAATTCAAAATAATTCCAAACTCCTTCGTTCTTTTTCAATCTCACTAAAATTGTGCTGGGATTAAGATGAGGATCTGAGTCAATGAACTAAAAAAAGCAAAGTATTTTGAACTACTATTACAAAGCTTGTTTAAATCTCACTAATCTAGGATCTTTCTTTTGCTACCCATCCTCATAATATTCTTTTTACACTAAAGTCAGGAAAAAGCATCACTATCTTCATTGTCAAACATGTATTAAGCATCCTTATGTGAATGTTATGCTGAGGCTCTGCCTTTAATAAATTGCCAATCTAGAAGGGGAAGAAACATATATGCATAAAACAAACTAGTCAAGGTAGTGTAAGTTAAATAATGAGTGGTTTAGGGAATAATCATTAAAACTGAAAGCAAAGACCATACTCTCAATATGGAAGTGAAGAAAAGATACATGAATAAAATGGAACTTGAATTGAACTCTAAAATTGGAATAAAGTTTAGAATTTTAAGGCAAAAGTATGGGAAATTTCAAACAAAGCAATAAGCTTTGAATATGATACCATATTGACCAACATTATTCTTTAGGAAAAGGAAGTCTTTGAAAAATATTTTTGAGTGAAGGGAAGGTAAAATGTGATTTTTTTGGTCTTTTTTGTTTTTATCGGTACCAGGGATCGAACTTACGACGCCTGCTTGCAAGTCAGGCTCTTATGCCGCTGAGCTAAATCCCCAGCCTGGGAAGGTAAAATGGAAGGATCCCTATTTTGCTTTTTTTTTTATGAAGAAGAGTGGGAGTGATTTGATGAAAGTAATGGTAAAATTAAAGACACAAGTTAGAACATGTTGTGATATGAAAAAAGGCCCAGCCAAGGAGAACAGGAATAGAAAGTACAAAAACAAAAATCATCAATTAGCCAGCAAGCTTCTGGAAGAAAGATCTTACACTACTTTGTTCCTCCCACCATACTTGGCATGACGCCTTATACACAATGAACACTTGTAAAACATTTACTGACTGCTTTAGATAGTAAAATAGCCAAATAAGAATGTCAAACATTAGAAAATATATTCTAGTAAATGTAGTTTGTAGAGAAAATTTAGATTTAGTGTCGGAGGTATGGTGTGGGTTTGGGGACAGTCGCATCAGGGGAGACAAAACAATTAGGCACAACTAGTACAGTAAAAAGTTGGTTGAAGAGGCAAAATCTCCAACTAAAAGAAAAACAGTCATACTAAAATCTTTTGGTTGCAAGAAGCAACCCAAAAGAGTAGGGTCTTTGAATGTTTTCTGAACAGGAAAATTTGTCTTCGTGATGTGGATAAAACAATTAAAATTGCTTGGAAGGCACTTGAAAGCCCTGGTGTTGTATTTGACGTTTTGTTTGGAAATGCAGTAAGTTATTTCACTTGTATATCAATCCTTAGTTGAAAATAACTGGATTCATCTTTTCAAGTGTCCTAGGTTGATTGTTTAGTTTGGGGAAGATCTTTATTTGATCTTTGCTCTTTTTTTAGGATTTGCAAGTTTAACTGAGAGCTTTATGTCTGTGGAAAAATGTATTCTCCTTTAAAATACGATTACAGTAATCTTGGAAATCTAGATGTGTGAATCTACCCAACTTAAAAAGACTTTAGCAAGACACATGATGTTTGATTAACAGTCCTAGCCTCAACCTTCCAAGGCCTAAGTGCTAGCTAGGTACAGAGGCCTCCTTGTTAAGTCCCCAAGTGCTCCTCTCTGCAAACTGTTCTCTTACTTTCTTCTCAAAGGCAGCAATAATTTGACTTTCACATTTTTTCCAACTTCCCATCCTACCTTATTTCTTGAAGTTTTCCTACTTCACAGCCAAAAGATTACAGAGGAAGATCCAGTCTTCCCAATTTCTACCTTTCTCTAGTAAAAGCACAAGTTCTTTTAATGCAAACATTTTACAGATGGCCACTATAAGAAAATAAATATGTAGGATTATGCAGAAGTCATATGTTACAAAAAGTTATTTTGGAAATTGTTTTGATTCTCCATTGAAATGTCAATGACCTAGATCTTTTTATACTTAAATACTTTCAGAGGTTCTATTGGATAGTTTTTTGGGAAGTCACTCCTCTGCTCTAAGACAGGTGTTTTATCCTAAGCTTAAAGTTCATCAACTTTCTGTCCAACACACCCACTGGAAACTTCCCACTAAGATCCTTCTCTTAGCTCAGTCAGGAAATTACAT